CTTCATATTTCAGAAGTTAGAAGGCATGAATGCAGCATACCTTGCACACAGATCTCTTTTGTTACGAAGTTTCTATCTATCAGATATGTCAATTGCCCTTGACCTCATTGAAATGAATAGCTGTTTTTATCATGAAAATATGTTCATCATCAATATGTCTGTCCGTCCGTCCGTCCCATACAATTTTTCTAAGAAATTAACAACCAATTTGACATCAAGATTCATGTGGGAATTTTAAACTGCGTGTTGCAGTTTCAGATTCATCTATTATCATATTTCTGTTTACCGAATACTTATATATTCTTACACATAATCGCAGAGGATGAAATTTTAGTAACAATTTTCTCAACAACTTCAAATGAACGCTTTACTGTGTATTTAGTGATTTCACATCCATCAACATGTCGGGGTTCAATTTATTTTCCAAAAACCTATTATCGTGAAAGTTGGTTTGTCGGTTTCAAACGATAAATAAAGTACCCAAAATGAAGACGGATAGTGGTTGCCATGGTTATCTTTTAAGGAAAAGTGCCTGTTTAAAATAAATTTGAACACGACAGGTTTGTTTTACAATAATATATATGTATTGATTTTTTTCGACAGACCATGTTCAGATCCGTGTTAATCTTGCTTTTCATACATTTGTGGTTTCAAAAAGAAAAAAAAACCGGGTCCTATAGAAAGACAAATACGGGTCATTGTGTAGTGAACAACATTGACAAAACCGGGTCCTTTCATTTTGACATGACCCATTTCATTCGTTCCATGCACAGAAATACAAATTTTGACGTGCTCAAAGTAACTAGTCTTGCAATCTCTATGTTAATATCTTTCTTTCCGTACAATGTGCACAATTTAACGAGAAATTAAACAAATTCGAGGCAAGGTTCACTAAATTCATCATTTTGACGTGCCTTTTTACTTATTTCTCTGTTAATCTAGAACGGTTGTAGAAAATATGACATCTCACAATCGGAACTAGTTATATATGTATTTATATTCTTCTATATCATAAAAGTAACAAATAAATAAACAGAAATCCTACTTTTTCTCTGTCTGTTGATTGTCCGTAACATTTTTTGCCGGGGTAGTTTAGACACAGTGCATTAATAGACACTAACTACAAAATACTATGTGCGTGTATATATATCTGATAGTTGGAAGAAGTGAAGTTTCTTTTTTATATTATTTGATTTATTTACTAAAGATAAAAAATAAAAATGGTCTTGGTGCTATATTTCTTGTTATTTCTTTTTTTTTTTGTTATATTTTGTAGTCATATATAGAAAAAAATATATAAGAGGCAAAACGTACCAGAAGGAACAACTTAAAAGAGACATTATTATTTTCGACAAAAACGAAAAACGACGGAAGACAAACACGACACGGTCTACTAAAAGTACTATTATAACTGAAGACTATGAAACACAAATTCAACCAAACACATTGGATTATATAAGGTGATCCAGAGAGTAGGCAGACACATGTGGCACCCGTTCTGTTGCTCAAGGGAGTATCGTTCGATGAATATTATCATTCATTGATGTCACAATCGAGGTAAAAGGACGGGATTGTGACTATTGCAATATGAACTTTGCAGTGGTCATCTGTGATAAACATATTTCATAACGATCAACCAAATAACGAATCTGATGGCGTCTGTGAACTGTCAAAACTTTCAAAGGAACGACTACAACTTTACCACTTGAAACCCTTGGTTCAGTAGCTTCGTTATAATTAGCAACTCTCTACCAAGTGAATCACTATTATCTTTATTATTTATAGGACACGCAAGTCCTGGAATATAGTATCAACTAGAATAATTTAAACTTTATGTGCAGTGGCTACTTGATTAATGTTGCATTGACATCTTTGGGTTCATTAGAGCAATTGACAAATTATGCAAATGTTGCCGTGTTTTCAGCATTAATTGTTGTATGAGTACATACAAACCTGCGCTCTTTGGAAAGTTCTAAGGCAAGGTATTACCTAGATAAATATAATTCAAATGCATTTTACGTTATAGAATATTAAAAACTTAAATAAAGAAGAAAATGTTTTGAATTTCCGATTCATTGCAAAACTCATAAAATTGATAGCTTATATCAAGTCCTTCCCTGATTCATATTGCTGCATGTTTGACAAAAATGAAATGTGGAAAACAAAATTGTTTTTGGTATTTGTCGAACAACTGTGATTAAAACATTTACTTCTTATTATGCTTGAACTTGTTTAGAAATATTCCTACAAATACCATACCGTTTAACAATGATATACTGTAATCTGGGAGAAACTTAAAGATGTTCAGATACACTTTTTACTGAAGTTCGTAATGTATTGTCTTTAGTTTTTTATATAGTGTGTTGTAGACTGTTTTGTTTTCTTTTCGTCCATTTTCGTGTCTATTATCATTTTTTCGGTTTCTATTGTACTTGTGAATTATCATTTTCACATTGCTATCTTCAACCTCTTTCAATAGATTCGTAAACGATATTCAACAAAGAGGATATTAGTGAGATTAAAGTGACTGGTTTATGTTCCATTTAAAATTGAGTGTGTTGTAGAATGTGGTTTGTCTTTTCGTCCGTTTTTGTGGTTACTATTTATTTTTCTGTTTCCACTTGTGAACTTCGATTTGCACATTGCTATCTTCCGCCTCGTTTATACTCAAACGATATTTGCTAAAGAGGATAGCCATGGCACTAAAGGGACTGTTTAAGATTCATTTTAGACTTTAACCAAAAACTGAAGGGCTGGATATTTCTTCACCTAATTGGTTACTCCGATTACACAAGTGTCCTTACAAATTTCGTCAATTTTTTTTCAAGTATTAACGGCTTTGCTTGATCAATCTAAACATAGCTTCAGATGTATTTCAAAACTACCTACCCAGAGACGATGGGAACCAACTATTGAAAGTACAAAAATTCCGGAGATTCTCTTCCCCGCCATAGTTTTAAGTGAGTTTGACAGATTGAAAACACCTGAGTATTTTGATTTCATTAAAAGATAAATGGTCCGCGTAAATATAAATACCTTGTAAAAGATATCATATGAGTAAATGTGCTATTTCACAAGGTTTTTTTATGAAATTTTGTATGCATTTATAGCACGATAAACTGCATATGGATAAACAAAAAAATCCACGAGATCGCTCATTTACGTACCTGTTACCACCAAAAAAGAAATAATCATACCTTGATCAATATATCACCTTGGTTTTATTAAACTGCCAACATTAATAAATTACTTCATTTAGCTTAACGTTCCGCTATATAGATGCAATAAATAAAAGTTTAGAAACAATGTTGATGGCATCTTTCGAACTTGTGATGAATGATACTATTGATGAGGTCAATATTAATAAGGAGATATGCTGTGATTGGCAATAAGATATTTACCCAACAGAGAACAAAATGACGTGGATTTAAGCAACTATAAGTCACCTTATATATGGCCTTCAACATATCATAATAAAAGTGTATAAGAAGATTTAGAAACCAATGTATTTGACAATATACTTACAAAAACTGAGAAGATGTCGTATGATTCCTCATGAGATTCTATCAAACTAGGACTAAAGCAGGTAAATGCTTGCAACTACAGATCATCGTTCAACAATCAGCATACCTAATTCAGTTTAGAACCTATTTTATGTCTGCAAATTAGAATCAATAGCCTGTGACGACTGTGACAAATGGACACACAGAAATTGCATCGGAATGTCTACAACAGAATTCAGCAATCTAGGCAAGAGCGAAGACACATGGACATGCCCATCATGCTCAAAACCCAACAACTCTTCGACAAAAGTATACTTTATACCAAGTGGAGACGACAGCAAACATACCTCCCTTAATATATCTACCAATCCATTATTGCTAGACAGTATATCTGAGTCATCCATACCATCAACATCAGGATTAAGTATCAACTCACCATCTTTCAACACAACACCATTTAGTACAGATATACCGATCATGACATCATCACATAAACCAGCCAAAACGAAACAAACCCCTAAGAAACAACTAAGGCTGCTGAACATCAACTTCCAGAGTCTAAGAAAAAAGGGTAAACTTCTGGAGGCCGTTCTGGAACTGTACATATTGTCTGTTTGCGCTTTAAGATAAGTGAACTAATTTTCATATAAATCCAAGATTTGTAAGTGGTGAAGTTGAAATCGTCCCTTCGTAAGTATGTTCCAAATGTCGTTACTAACATCCAATTCCCTTTTACCCGAACGTGACCTACCGAATTAGACTTATCACAGGGTTTGTACTAACATGAGCAACACGACGGGTTCCACATGTGGAGCAGGATCTGCTTACCCTTCCGGAGCACCTGAGATCATCCCCAGTGTTTGGTGGGGTTCGTGTTGCTCAGTCTTTAGTTTTCTATGTTGTGTTTTGTGTACTGTTGTTTGTCTGTTTGTCTTTTTTCTTTTTTAGCCATGGCGTTGTCAGTTTATTTTCAAATTATGAATTTGAAAGTCCCTTTTGTATCTTTCGCCTCTTTTTTCCATACAGTGCAATGCTCCGATTTTCTCCATCATGAATAGATTAACTTAGCTGTATTTTGAAAAACCTTTCGGAACTGTGGGTTCTCAATGTTCTTTAACTTCGTACTTTATTTGGCAATTATTTATTTTTATTCGAAGGTCTGATGAGTCTTTACTATATAAAAACGAAGGTCTGGTATACAAAATTATAAGCCTGGTGTCTTGGATCTTTTTTTAGCTGCATAGGTAAGGCAATTCTTTCCTAGAGAAACTCATTCATAAACGAATGAAATACTTAGTGGAGTTATCCATATGTAAAGTCGAGTTTAATGATTTATTGATTTTAAATTCAGAATCTGAATTGTCATCAAACAAAAGCACAAAATCAAAAAGTCATCAATATAAATAATATATGTACAATGTTTATCATATAAAGTCAAATGAAATAAGAAAAAAATCTGTTGCTACTCTTCAATAATGAAAAAGAGGAGACACATAGTTAGATTAAACAATATTTTATTTTTCATAAGTGCATAAGTGACAAATAAACAACAGTAATATAGTGATTCGGAAACAAGAAAAAAAGTATTATTTAAATCTGTATCCTTTCATCAAATGAAAATATTGGGAACAAAATTAAAGAGACATGCTACAATTTAACTTGCAATATATATATGTTCTGTGACACAACATTAAATACACAATTTTGCCAACTAAATTAAACTCAACTCAACATATGCATTTTGTCGTGCAGACAAACTACCCGCATACATGTACCCGCCAAAAAAAACGTATTACCAAATCTTGCATCATTGGCCCTTTACGATTTATGATTGAAACTTTCAGACAAGATTTGTTCCGCTATACTGCGAAACGCGAGAAAAATGTATTTAATATACTTATGTCCATCAGAAGACAGTAGTTAATAATAATGTAAACAATAATGTAAATGTAAGTATGATACCGACACTTGGAGAGGGGGTACGGGGTGCTCATTTTCCAAATCCCACTTTTTAGTATTTTTTACCCATTTCTCACTTTTTTTTCCTTCTTTTTCCCAGATGCCACATTTTTTTGTTTAAATCCTATCTTCTTTACACCCCATATCCCACATCCCCACTTTTTACCCCGTATATATCACATTCCAACTTTTTTGACCCACTACATCCTACATCTCAAAAAAAAAGTCATCATTCTTTTCAGTAATCCTGGTTTTGGTTAACCTATTACATATCAGCGGCTGTTCAAATGTTTGAGGTAAGGAGGATATACGGTCCGTAACATAAAAATGTTAAAAATAGTTTTTTTACGATTTTATGCCAAAAAATGATATTTTTCGATCAATGGGGACGGGGCTAATGCCCTCACCCTCTCCCTTATTCCGTCAATCCATGTCAACTTATTCAATAGCGTCGTAGTAGTACAACTAATTAAAAGTGAACAACAAAATTGTCAATGAATAACATCGCCGCAAGTAAATTTATCAAATTTAGGCACAGTTATTTTCTAAACTGACAATTTACCATATAGAAATGTATTTGTTTAATCATGCCAGGACCAAAGTCCTAAATACTTGTCCAGGGATCTTTGTATACATAATACACAAATGAAATAATAGTTTTATAGTTCTTATACGTGCAGTTTTAAAGGTGTTGCCAAAATCGCAAGGACAAATCTTTCAACTGAATCTTAATAAAACTTTTTCTCTTAGTTTGAATTAAAATATGATAATAGAGAATTCTTTATATTTCACGTTATCAATATTATATACGTTACGTATAATACATTACATAGGTAGTTTAAGCAATTATCTGTAAGAACAAAGACCCAGTTTGCCATACTTACATATAACTTGTACGTATATATTCTGTACCAGCGGTATACTACTGTTGCCTTTATTGTATACTTACTTCAATTCCTATGAACATTATAGAGGCTTCTCACAGTGTGTATTTTAACGTATATTATTATATCGCTTGTGTGGTTTTTCTTTAAGAAGTCTTACAATACCAAAAGAATAGTCACAAACACAAAGGGTGTGTTTGACATTACACAATGTATAAAAGAGGCAATATATATTTACTTCATTCATATAAAATGAACTGTTACAGATATAACTCAAACGCATGTATATATATATATATTGCACAGAAGGTATAGCATAAACAAACAGTTAAAAATCTAAAATTGGTTTTTCAAATTCTTTTACTCTGATCTGTCTTGGAGTGTATTCACCATCGGATTTCCCTTTGAAAAAGAAAGGATTCCTTGACATCGTTTTAGTCTTCGGTGCTTTGGAATGTTCAACAACTTCTGGATTCGCGTCTTTTGATTTCTTGAGAGTTTCCACCTTCCTCTTTTTCCTTTTTCGTGCATAGACTAAGAGGCATATAAATAATGTCATAATAGTCAAAACAGCCGCCACAACAAGTATCCACCAAGGCCAATACAAATCTCGTAGCTTTTCCCAGAAACTGGAATTTGAAGACGAGGCTGATGCATTACCTTCAATAAAATATGTTCAAATGGTAAAGAACATCATTTTGTCAAGAGTTCTTCTGTGAATAATTATGAAGATCAAGCTCAAAAACAAATTATTTTGTTTTGATTATTTTGGCACAGAATGTATAGTGCAAAGTGCTTGAAACGTATTCGAAAAAAGAAAAAAGAATGTAAAATGAATATAAATGTCGTTACGAAATGGCAGATGAATACTGTTAGTAAACAGAGAAACTAGTTTGAACTGTTTACATTTGTCATTTCGGGGGCTTTCAAAGCATGCTGTGCTGTACATGTTTTGCTTATTGTTGAATGTCGTATGGTCACCTATAGTTGTTAGCTTATTGCGTTATTTGGTCTCTGGTGGAGAGGTGTCTCATTAGCATCATAGCACGCACATCTTCTTATTTTGATACGCAACCAGACGGCTCGAATGGGCTACTGTATGGTGAAAGGAAGACAACTAGATCAAACAGTCTTATTATACATTACAAATACACTTTACATTCGTCGGATAAGCAATAATTGGGACAATCTATGTTATGTATTCGGGCTCCAATCACAAGAGCTTTGAAGATAAGCGGCCTCACAGCTTCATGTCAAATCAATGAAGAAGAAAACAACTCTAATATTTCATTAGTTTTGCCTACATCTTCCTTTCATCCTGATATTTACTGGTTTGATACTTTAACTAAAAGGATTATGTCTGTGAGGCTTATCGGATGTAAACGAAAACTTTACGATCAACTTTAACCCTCTTCAAGTGCTGTAAAATATGACAATTTGAAAAAAAATGTACACGATAATCGGTGTATACCTGTATTATTACCAGTTGTCACAACAGCCCCGGAAGAAACAGTACTTGCAAGTGTTGATACCGTAGTTGAAGCAGTAGTTGTTGTGGTTGGTTGCGTTACTGCCACTACATTTGTTGTCGTGGCATCCGTTGTTGTGGTTGTTACTGAATCAATTGTTGTCGATTCTGTTGTTGTATCGATTGTTGTTGCAGAATCTGTAGTTACCTCTGTTGCGGCTTCTGGTGTTGTCCCTACAGGTTAGAGCAAATATATTGCCAATATTAGTTAGTTTAATATGTTAAAAACGGCAAATTTAAACACACGGAAACATTAAATCAAAGCTGACATTGGGTGAACTTGGCTATTCTTTTTAGGTTCGTTTTGGTCATATAGCTGTTCACGATCTCGGTTAATTATACTTCCTTGGTTTTCAAGTTGATGTCCTGAGCTTGAGCGTTCCCCTCATGAAGATTCATATTGAAAAGTACTTCGGACGCACCAATTTATTAAATATTATTTTCGTTTGATATGTCTAACAATAAATAGTTATATTTATTAAAAACGTGCTCCACAATTTTGTAACCTTCATAGCAATGATTTAATGGATTTGTTTGGATCTTAACCTTTTCTTAAGGTCATTTTCATCTATATAACTCCTTTGATAAAAATTCTTGTCTTTCAAATATTTTTGTGAACGTCCCTAAGCAGGTAAGTTCAGAAGAGCTACACGAACGTATAAACAATAAAATTATTTTTTTTATCATTGGATCGATACTCCTAGTTGTTATTCATCGAGGGTGTTATCAGCCCAGGTTTGAGTGCGTCGCTAGTGACTTGATTCATAATATACATTTCTTAAATGTTTCAATGATCAATATAGAAATTACAAAAGAGACCCTTCAGGTAAAGTTGACCTTAGATGGTTTCGGTCGTTCATACAATGGCATACATGCTTAAATGGCTCCGCGTGTATTTTTATGTCGTATACTCTCAAACGTTTAGTGTCAGTGTATCAGATTAAGGTAAATCTAAAGCGTTTAACACTTTTTATTTTGTTCATTCACTTGTTTTTTGTTTGTTTTGATTTGTGTTTTTTTTTTCGTCTACCGGAATTTGTCCGGTTATATCTAGACGAAAAAAAGTGGTATCTTGTTTACATATTTACGAATGTACATATTTTTTTATTATCTTTTTTTACTTTCTATTCTTACTTTTTCATATATAACAAACTTGGACTTTACATACATGGGTTAACAGGAGTAAAATGCATCCTAACATATTTCGTGGCTCCAGATTCATAATAGTATTCGTTATCCTTAGTAGCGTCACAGAATACAGGAAAAAATGTGTCCTCACTCATTGATAGGTAGAGAGATAGTGTAATAACTCCATCTGATCCAACCTTATATCTCTGAAAAAAAGAGGTTAACTTATTTATAAAAAGAAAAAAAAACTGTTAATTAGTTTTTGTCTAATATGAAGGGGACACTTGATCCGTATCCTAAAACAATGCTGATAAAGTATTTTGTTTAGAAGGAATTGTCTTGCAAATTAATTGTTGTCAGTTATCACTTTTCTCAAAGATTTAGTGTAAAAGTTAATATAAGCCTTCTGTTTTTAATTATGTTTTCCCCTTTAATTTAAGTTATCGCGCACTTTGTGTGCAGACAAAGCTGTCCTATTCCAAAAAAAAAAAAAAACAACAAAAACAACAAAAACAACAAAAAAAGCTTTAAGGGCAAAACTGATTGATGTTTAGTCTATACGTGGGTATGAACATGCTTGTTACAATGTATACATGTAGTACGTCAATTTGATAGCAAACCAACAAAGATATGTAGGTCAATTGACAGTCTTCAACAATTGTCTTGTATATCCTATGTTAAGCTCTCTAAATTATCATAGTACTGTACATGACCTTTACTGGCATAAAAAAGGAGATATTCTCTACAAGAAGATCATAGAGGACTGTAAGGCTAGTACAACTAATTAGAATTTAAACAAGTGTCCCCTCAGAATCTAATATGCCACAACATTTCTTTAACATTTAAATATTGCTTTTGTAGAATATTAAAGATTGCCTAAACTCGTTTTGTTTTGTCGGTACACATATTTTTGCCTTAAACTTAAAGCATGATGCTAATAAATATGTGCTTCCGCGAGGCAAATGTTAAATTAGAAATGGGAATGCAAATTACTGTTATCTTTTTCGGTAATATGTTGCATTGACCTCAAGAACACTGTGTGGCATCACCACCGGATATAGGTACCCCTGAAGCAAAGAGAGTACGTATTCGAATCCCCGTACGTACAGTAAACAACTTTTCGCTGCTATTCGCCGTACAATTTATCCGCTTTATTTACACGAATTTCTCTGTGTAAACAATAGTTTATTTCGAAATACAGTGTTGCTCAAGCTTAAATATGATATACCTTTGTTCTACAAAAACGTCAAATGAATAGTTGAAGGATATTAAATGTGTTTTAATTAAGTTTGAACTCGTCACATGCCTCGTTGAACAGTTACCCCTATCAGATTCTGACGATTTGGAGAGAGAGAAAAAGGGCCAAAGCCAATTAAGGATCATAATCAACCCTAAATAGTAGCTACATTATTAGGAACAGTGTCACAAAACTTTTCTTGTCAGCAAAACGTAGATTATAATAAAAACAAGAAGAATTCTTCACATTTTTTCCTCAACTCTTTGGTGGTACCTATATCCGCTGGTGATTCTACTTAGTGATGAAAGTACTAAGCGCGCCTATTCTCGAAAGAGAATTAAACCGTAGAATACAAGAAATTGCTACGTTTATTGTTTGTGCAGTTTAGCTGTTCGTCAAAAGAAGATATGACGATTTTCCTTGTTTGTGACATGTATTGAAACAAATTCAATTTTGTACCAGCTTATATTATTTCAAAGTTTGATCTTGTTTGTAAAAATAAGGTCCATGGAGATATTGAAGTGCATAGACGTCTATACAAATATAAGATTGACAATACAGACGATAGAACATTTGTTTCAAATCTGTTACAAACCAATCAAAACAATTTTATACTTTTTTCATTTCAGCATAAATGATTCGATACGAAAGTGTGAATTTTCTGCCTTTTAGTATCCATATCAATCATATAATTTATTTTTCAATATAGATGTGTGTTTTTTTAATTATTATTTATTACATTCTTATGTACATTTGAAATCGGCCTCTAGTTTAAATATTACTATACATAGTAAACATGACAAGTACGAGTATTTATTTTTATTAAACTTACTCCACAATACGGCCAGGCCGAAGAATCATACATTTCCATAACTATAAAATCCCCGGATGAGGGTGTATCTCTACTCTCTGCAGACCAGGAACCAAGGCAGTTAAATGCTCCGTAAAATGGATTTGCTGAAAAATAGCAGTTCGTTTAATGGTTAGTTTTTGTGACTGGTGCCATCTATTCTGATTACTTTTTCGATTTTATACAATAATCATGATAATTAAATGACAATGATATTGGTTTGTCCCTTTGCTTTTTCACTTGACATAGTTCGAATTAGTTTTAAATTAATTATAAATCAATGAAAGGAGATACCGGGTACGCGTGTACGTGAATTATTGCGACAGAAACCTAACATTACAAGAAAAGTAATCTGATATCATATTTACTCAACATCATCGTTTATTGCTTGATTGTTGGTGTTTAACGCTACTTTCAGCATTCTTGGCTAAATCGTGGTGGCCAGTTTTCAATGACGGACTACGCCGGAGTGCTCGTAGAGAACTAACGGCATTCGGCAGAAGAACGGAAAATCCTGGTAAATTAAGACCGGAGTCGAACACACCTGCCAAATGCGGGGTTCGAATTCACAATCTCGGTGCAGACAGACTAGTGATACTGGCACCATCTTCGTCATAAATTCATTCTCAAACCAAATGACAGTATGTTGATAAAATATGAATATAATGATCTATGCTCAATAAAAAGAAATATAGAATTTAATTTTACCAAGAAATCACATTGAATCTCTTCATACAAATAAATGATCAACTAATTATTAATCAATTCAGCTGGATCTAACATATTACGGAGTTCCTGATTCACACTGCCCTCTACTTTTACTTTCCTCCCGCTTACTATCAGACTAAATTCGGTCAATAAACTTTTTTAGTATATCCCTACTATTACTCCCCCTATTCCAAACGGTTACCACCCGCCTATCACCCGCTTTCCTCTCCTGACACCCACCCCTTATTACTTAACCTCTGTCCACCCTCTTTAACATGAAAACAATCACTTTTCAACGATATCAGTGGCGAAGAAAAAAAAAACCGCTAAAAAAACATTTGATAACTGAAATCCATAAATGTAAAAATATTTGTGTAAATAAATATTCTAATTAATTTTCTATATATACTCATTACCTTTAGATACCAAGTTAAAATCGAAGCAACTCTTTAAGGCAATGTTATAATCTGTGATGGAAGCTATCGATGATTGGCTGCTGGAACAATAATCTGCATTACCGCCACTACTAAATGTGAAGTAATAAGACTCAAAGGAAAACGGACAATTGACGTATTGAAAATTATCTGAAATAAAAAAAAACAGTTAGGACAATAACACCCAAAATAAATTTCAAAAGTAAAATAACAAAAATACCGATCTACAAGGAAAATTCAAAACAGTGAGTCCTTTATCAAATGGAAATCAAAACCTCGAACGAATAGAAAACAGCTGTTTATACCTGACTTGGTACAGGCTTCTTTTTGTGTAATGGAAAATTATGGTACAAGTGTACAATTTCATAGCGATCAATACATTTATACTAAAGTTGTTGTCTTGAAAGAAAATGTCTTCGGACGACGACAACAACGACGACATCACCATACCATCATACGGCCGCATAGAAATCTTTAGAATTGAATAAGCATTACAAAGGAATCATTTAAGATTTCCAAAAAATGATTACTTCAATTTACAAGTTCGTTTTTGATTTACGATCAACATACTTCTTTCTTGGTTTAGGTAAAACTAAAATGTTTACCACGGCACATATTCAAGGGGCTGTTCAAAGTCATGAACACTTTAGCGTTTATTTTACCGTTTTGATATAGTTTCGGTGTCAACGCAAATCGTTAATATAATTTGTTTGTGATTTATAAACAAATAATTACATTGCATGTATGTTTCATTATGATACGTTATTTTGATTGGCTAACAGCAATCTCGCGTCATTCTGAAATTAACCTTCATTTTAAAATCAAATGTAACATTCATGATGACACGAGCTCCCACAATAAAGTGCACAGGTAAATAAAAGAAAACTTGATAGAAATCGTGTTTTCATGATCCTAGCAAATAAATGTGATTACAAGTATTGACAGGGGCGGATCCAGCCATTTTAAAAAGGGGGGTTCCCAACCCAGAAGAAAAAGGGGGGGGGGGGGAGGTCAAACCATATGTCCCCATTCAAATGCATTGATCGGCCAAAAAAAGGGGGGGGGGTTCCGACCCCCGGACCCACCTCCCCCCCCCCCTGGATCCGCCACTGATTTTATAGGGTTGTAAAAGCGTTGACCGCGCTTCATAGAAAATGTACTTCGGTCAACGCTTTTACACCCCAATAAATTTACAAAAAGAAGCATTCAATTCTTAATTAATTTCCACATACTAAAGACAAATGGTTAATGCTGTTTGTTTACTTCTGTCTTTTGGTGTTTGTATCGTTTGTTGGTGATGGTCTCATCAACGTGTGCAAGTACCTTTTGGGTGCCAATGAGTGGGAGTACCGCAAATGACCCCCATCTAAATTGTTTTACTTGGAATATATTTATACATATCAATCAGCCGGCAGATATCTCAAATTATGTTTGTCGGTTTCTGTACTCCCACTAAGGAACACCCAAAGGGTATCTTGTCCTCAAGTACCGTGCTTTGCGTATGTTTGCGAAGGTAACCAGGACAAACTGTATCCATTCCTATACAAATTTTATGGACATATTGACTGTGATAACATTAGATCTATGGAAGATAACATTTTCACTGCGTTATTTTCTTTTTTCAATCCCTTTTTACCATAAATGTGAAATGCATTAACGAGTTGGATACCGCGCAAAACATGAGGGTCTGGTTGTGGTGGGGAAAATGGAGAAAAATAGGCAAAAGATAAAAGAGAATAATGGGATGCTAAGATATATAAATTAGAGAAAAAATGGTATAGAAATATGAAGAATAGCGAAAAATGAAGAAAATAAAACGTATAGAGAAAAATGACAAAAAAAAATAAATAATGCATAAACGAAGAGCACTGTCACCCCATGCAGACCCTCATAAACAAGGATGCCAATTATTCTTTGAATACTTGTACTTACACTTTGTAAGAGCAAAACTCGACGTTGATGAAGTAAATCTTGAAGCACAAGTTGAAGCGGCCGATAATACACCTGTACCTCCTAGATCCTCTGTAAATATAGGATTAAATGAAATAAGAGAAGAAAATAGAAGAAATAAAAAAAAAAGAATAAAAACATGCAAAAGTTATGTCGTGTTTAAAAGAAATCACACATTTTCAGATATTTTAGAGAAACTGACATTTTCGGGATAAATATGGTTCTTTTAATTAATTCATCATATAAAAAACTAGATGCATGCACGTGTTACATTTAGAAAATCAGTAAAAGCCATAAATAAATTAAAAAACAGTCTTAGCCTAGTTCATTATTATTTAGGAGCAAAGTTATGCAATACTTTTCATAAACACACTAATATGTTTTGATCATGGATGTCCTTTGAATTAAAAAATAACAAAACATCATGTGCACAATTTATGAATAGTCTGGCTTTGGACTAGGTGTCAGCAACTGCCAGTACTCTCATGTCTGTATTTAGCGTCTTTTTGTTGTGGGGATGTACAAATACCCAGGTACATCAACTCTGTGTTTTTGTTACTTGTTTTTGTTCTTTGTATCGATCTGATGATTGAAGCCTTTTTCAACTGATTTTATAGTTTGTTCATACATGTAAGTTGTACTGTTCCACCACTGTCCCAGGTTAGAGGGAGGGTTTAACCCTGCCACATTCTGTATGTGCCTGTCCCAAGTCTGGAACCTGTAATTCAGTGGTTGTCGTTTGTTGCTGTATATCATATTTGTTTTTCGTTCATTACTTTGTACACAAATCAGCCCGTTAGTTTTCTCGTTTGAATTGTTTTACATTTGTCATTTCGGGGCCTTTTATAGCTGACTATGCAGTATGTGTTTGACTCATTGTTGAAGGCCGTACGGTGACTATAGTTTTTAATTTCCGTATCATTTGCTCTCTTGTGGAGAATTGTCTCATTGGCAATCATACCAAATCTTCTTATTCTTATATTGAACAGCAATCTTTAGCACACATTCATATTACAAAATCATAAAAATGTATATCTGCCAAATCGCAGAGAAAAGTCGTTCAAGTATATATTATCTAAATTCCACTTTATTTCATTAACTCAATCACAAGGTAAATTATTGGCATTGCTGCACCACAAGGGTTATATCGTGTCTGAAAATGTAGCGCAGTTAGAATAATTCAACATTTTATATTTAAAAACTATGCTTATCGGAGCAAGGCCACCTTGGTAAACGTTCAGACATCTTGAACGTTCAGGTATTTCACATCCAATCTTTTATGGTAATATTCTATACAAAGCAAAAAAAATGTCGTCATTCACTCCAAAAGCTAACCAAGCCTTTTAACAGACTTATTCACAAGGGATATAGTTACGATACTATTGTCAAGTCATTAAAGGTAGCATTTTTTGGAATTAATATTGATTCACTCATGTGGTCTTTGCATCGGAAATAAAACACATTAATCTAAAACCAGTTGCTGGCATGAAACGGGTAATGTTCTTCTCATATAATTTATGATGGCATGATAATAAAGTGTAATTGATGCCTGGAGCTGGCATGTCAGTGACTGCTAGTAGTCCTTTGCTATTAATTTATGTTCAATTTGATTAATGTCATTTTGCTTAGTTTCTTCTGTTACCTATTCTAACATCGTATTCGGACTTCTTTTAAATTGAGTTTTACTGTGTGTATTGCTGTGTTTTTTTTTAAATTCCACATTGGCTAGAGGTATAGGGGGAGGGTTGAGATCTCACAAATCATGTTGAACCCTGCCTCATTTTTGCGAGTGTCCCAAGTCAGGAACCTCTAGCCTTTTCTAGTCTTGTGTTTTTTTTTTTAATTTTTGTTCATTTATATGTTCCGGAGTTTAGTGTGGCGTCCATTTCTCTGAACTAGTATATATTATTGTTAGGGGTCAGCTGAAGCCCACCGCTAGGTTCAGAATGTTATCGCTGTGATGAAGACCCATAGTTGGTGGCCGTGGGCTGTTTTCTGCTCTTTGGTCGGTTTGTTGTCTCAGTTTCCATTCTCAATTATATAACACTGGACACTTTTAATTTGCAAAACACTCATTTGCAAATCCGCCGCCGCCTCTCCTTAGACCTACAGTGTCGTGTAAATAACCAAAATGTGCGGAATTACATGGGATTCAATAATTTCATTGCTTTTCTGCTGTTATTATTATATATATTTTGTAATTTGATTTAGAAAAACATGGGATTTTCAATATCCCATGGGATAAGGCAAATCCCATGGGATTGACCATTATCCCATGGGATTTTGGTTAAATCCCATGGGATTTTTTTGGGTCCCATGGGATAATTGTAGTCCCATGGGATATTTGTTGTCCCATGGGACAAAAAAAATCCCATGGGACTATAATTCTCCCATGGGATTTTTAATATCCCATGGGACAAAATAAAATCCTATGGAATTCAAATTATAAATATACAGTAATGTGTATGTTACAATGAATTCTGATTGGTAATAAAAAGTTTATAATATATATACGAGTGTATTTTGTTTTTTTTCATTTTGTCACAAACATGTTTTTAATTTGTTTATATGACAATAAAGATTATTATTATTTTGGAAATATAATAATATTTAAAGTAAAAAAATAAAATCCTTTAACTGAAATAAAATGATGATGTCTTAATAAAAGAAAAAAAATATTGATTTGAAATCTTTGTCTTCTTTGTTTTATTATGAAAAATAGAACTGAAAAAAATATTTCATATTCTGACTGAATAAATTGACAAAGCACAGTTAATAGTTTACTCTTTTCATGAGGTAAAGTTTTCTTTGTTATAGTTCCATTGCAATACATGAATATGCAAATGATTTGAATCTTATTCCTTTGTGGTGTTCATAATATTACATTTATATTTGTAAATTTATAAAATAAACACTTTTCCTGTTAAGTTTTAGTTTTCTTGTTTCAGTTTGCTATGAACAATTATTCAGTCCACTATATAAGAGTCAAGTAAATAAATTATTTCATCCACTAGAATATTCCTACAATTCTAAGACAAAACATTTATGCAATCTGTTCTTCAAAAATCTTCTTCCGTACATCTTTATTGGATGGAGCGATTTAAATGAGTGGACAAAGCAAGTTCATTTGGACAACAAAATACTAATATATTTTTTCATTCCTCCCTTCTTTCAATTGATAATTACGTTGTTGCATTTACATGATTAAGTTCTTGAGCATCTATGATCATGATGATATGACTCCTTTTTGTTTATAGTAATTATGTTGAAATTTCCTCTTTCTTATGTAGGAAAAAAAACACATTCCATTTCAAATTAATAAAAAAGTCACACTATGTAGAAAAATATCAACTTTAAGTTTGCTGTTCAGTATTGACCTGTTGAATGATGATCATGAAAACCAAGATGTCTGACCTACAAATACACAAAACTCAAAAATTATAAATGAAGAGAAATACAGCAATAAAATGGCTATTTTATCATGTTTATGTACATTTTGATAAAAATTTCATTTGAATATTTAAAATTGTAAGAACTCTTATTTCAGTGCTTTGTGTCTATGGTTTTCATATTAGTTGTTTTTTGTGCCTTGTTGCAGTCTTTCGAGTTAAGCCAATTGCAACAAATGTTTACAGTTTGTTCAAATGTTGTGCTGTTATTAAAACCACTGTCCCAGGTTAGGGGTGGGTTGGGTGCTCACTAAATGTTTATTTTATTAGTTGACATTTGCTTTGAATTAGCTGCCAGTAACTGTGAGTACTAATAGATCTGTATGTTGAGTCTTTTTTGTTAAAGGGAAAGAATAAATTTCCAGCCACATCCGGTCTGTGTTTTTGGTAGCTGTTTTTCTACTTTGTTGCATTCTAATGAGTTAATAAAATTGAGAATGAAAACGGGAATGTATCAAAATAATTTAATTTTGGATGTAATGCGTCTTCTGATTGGCTGACGTTGTTTTGTTTATCAGCTCATAGACATAATTTTGTCATGTGACTGTGACGTCATCAACGTTTTTTCATGGTTTACTCCGGTTTAAAATGGAATTTAGAATTAAATTATAAGAAATGACTGTAATATTTTTTCTGTCTATTTGAAATAACATAAAAAATGTGGTGCACACTTTAAAATAACCCGCTACGCGGATAGACACCATGCCCTCTTTAAATGACGCCATGCCCTTATTGAATTGTTTTACATTTGTTATTTCATGGCCTTTTATGGATTACTATGCAGTATAGGGTTTGCTCATTGTCGAAGGCTGTACAGTGAACTAATTTTGTTAAATTTAATGTCATTTGATCTCTATTGGAGAAAAGTCTCATTGGCAATCGTACCGCTTCTTATTTTTATATCAACCCTGCCATATTTTGCCTGTCATTATTTACAGGTCAACATTGGCCTCTAATTAGTAATTGCATTGCTTACATCCACTTAATTGAACTCTGGTGGATAGTTTTCTCATTTATCATACCACATCTTATTTTCATAATAATCATTATTCAAGGGCAATAACTTTTATAGAAGTGGACTTACCATTTAGGCTTTGTTGACGTCTGTAAATCTATTTTTGTTGATAATTTCTTTTGTTTATAGTTTCCTTTTATCTTTAATGTTCTTGCCCTACACATAAAAGGGTAAGCATTATCATTTAATGACAATAACTACTATTACATAATGAGTAGGCAACTGACAATTTTGGATCATTTGTATCTTGTCTTGCTCATCATTTTTGCTTGATATTATCAATATTCTATGAAAATGAGGTCACAGTAATATTAAACTTGTCAACCAGACATCTTCTTATTTTTATATGACACCTTGTAGTCATTCCATACACCAACAAGTAGACATATGCTTATAATATCTGATAAAATGAATAAAATGCTCCGCTGGGCGCAGCTTGATACGACCGCAGAGGTCGAACCCTGAACAGTTGGGGCAAGTATGGACACAACATTCAAGCTTGATACAGCACTGAATTTGGATTGTGATTAAATATTTGACACAGCATAGGTTTCTGACACAGAATGAATGTGGTCTAAGAACTTAAAATTTTTAATTTACCTATTCAAACCATATCATTATTATTTGCTTTTATATATAAATCAGAAATAACCAATTTAAAATGGAAAATTTTAAAGAAAAAAAAAGGAAAAAAAGGGAAAAAAAATCCCCCCCCCCAATTTTTTGAACCCCCTTATGATTCATCACCCCAAACTCAATCCCAGCCTTCCCTTTGTGGTATGGTACCTTGCAGTACAATTTCAGAGATCCATACACTTATACACAAGTTATTGTCTGGAAACTAGAAAAATGCTTGTTTACCCCCAAACTCAGACCCATCTTTCCCTTTGTGATATGGAACCTTGTAGTACAATTTCATAAAGATCCATACACTTACACACAAGTTATTGTCCTGAAACTAGAAAAATGCTTGTTTTTTGCCCCTTTTTGGCCCCTTATTCCTAAAATTTTGAGGCAATTACCCCCAAAATCAATCCCAGCCTTCCCTTTGTGGTATGGTACCTTGCAGTACAATTTCAGAGAGATCCATACACTTGAACACAAGTTATTGTCTGGAAACTAGAAAAATGCTTATTTTTGGCCCCTTTTTGCTAAACATTTTGAGCAATTACCCCCAAACTCAAACCCAGCTTTCCCTTTGTGATATGGAACCTTGTAGTACAATTTCAGAAAGATCCATACACTTACACACAAGTGATGGTCATGAAACTAGAAAAATTCTTGTTTTTTGCCCCTTTTTTTGCCCCTAATTCCTAAAATTTTGAAGCAATTGCCCCCAAAATCAATCCCAGCCTTCCCTTTGTGTAATGGTACCTTGCAGTACAATTTCAGAGAGATCCTTACACTTGAACACAAGTTATTGTCTGGAAACTAGAAAAATGCTTATTTTTGGCCCATTTTTGGCCCCTTATTCCTAAACCTTTTGGGCAATTACCCCCAAACTCAATTCCAGCTTTCCCTTTATAATATGAAACCTTGTAGTACAATTTCAGAAAGATCCATACACTTACACACAAGTTTTTGTCATGAAACTAGAAAAATGCTTGTTTTTTGCCCCTTTTTTTGCCCCTTATTCCTAATATTTTGAGGCAATTACCCCCAAAATCAATCCCAGCATTCCCTGTGTGATATGGAACCTTGTGGTACAATGTCAGAGAGATCCATACACTAACACACAAGTCATGTCTGGAAGTTACAAAAATGCTTATTTTTTGCCCCTTTTTGGCCCCTAATTCCTTAACTGTTGGTACCATAACCCCCAAAATCAATCCTTATGGTAAAATTTCATAGAGATCCATTCACTTAAACTAAAGTTAGAGTGCGAAAACCAATGTGTCTTCGGACGACGACAACGCCAAAGTCATACCAATATATGATCGTATAAAAAAACTAAGAAAACTTAGCATTGACCAAAGAACCATAAAATGCGATCATGGTTATATGAATCTGCCAGACAGACATGCACACCTTACAATCGTTACATCCGCCAAATATAATTTACCTGTTGCTTAAAGCATATGATAAACTGACAAAACAATGCAAACTTTTCATTGACCAATGAACCATGAAAATGAGGTCAAGGTCATATAAAACATGCCAGACAGACTGTGCATCTCACAATCATTCCATTCACCAAATATAGGGGCCTTATTCATGTTATTACCTAGGAATAGTCACGGATGTCATGGACTAGGAAAATTAGTCTGGGGACATAAATTACTGACATCGGACTAAATATACTAGTAAATTCTGTATCCATGGACTTTTTATACTAGTTATATTTGTCTGACCAGACAATTTATCTCTTACACTAGTTCTCAGAGAGACATGTCACCTTACCTTGACACATTATTCTGACTCTGAACAAACCAGTATTTGCTCTTACTCCTTAATAATACTGCGTGCTTAGGGGAGAAGCAGCAAATACCAACTTTAAAGTCTTTGGTTTTACCTGGTTGGGTTCAAAATAAACAACCTTCTGCACGTGAGGTGAACACGCTACCACGAGACCATGCAGTATAATATAAGGAGTTTACCCAAGATTTAAAGTTTCCAAGTTTTTGCAAAAACTGGTTCAAAATCATCATTGAAAAGCAATAACTTTTTAATAAGATTTAAGTTTCTCTTTGATTATTACAGTTTTCGAGATAAAAAGGCAAATTCAAGAAATATGAAGAAAAAAAAAATGGTTAAAATCTGTATTTAAGGCAACAACTCCTATGAGTCAGCTGCTAGTTTTGATGCAAATGGACAGTAGATTTTTTTTTCAACATTCTGAACATTTCTACCCTTGTAAGATATTGTCTATCTATTTTAGCCTTTTGTAGCTTATTACGCAGTTTGGCTTTTTAGCCCATTGTTGAAATCTGTACGGTGACCTATATAGTTGTTAACTTCTACGGTTTAAGTTTCTGTTGAAGAGCCGTCACATTGGCAATGATACCATATTTGTATATGTTTTTGTCATGTAGGTGTAAGGAGACAACCTTTTGATTTTCTGGTGGGATAAAAAGGGGAGACAGATTTTTTATCACCTGGCCTGGTAAGTTTTTCAGGGTTCGTAAGGATAGAAAACCCGGCAAATTGTAACAAACCCCTGTGGTACGACCATATTTGCCAAAAGATTAGTCCAAATAATTATGACGTCTTGCAAGGCTATTTTAACTTTTTTCTGGGCACGTAATAGTCAAAGTTGTGACTGAGTGCGGAAATATGAAGATAGATAGATAGAAAAATTATAAAGGGACATAACTGAAGAACGGTAAAAGTGATGCTACCCAAATTTGAACTTGATCTGAGTTTTGTGGTAATAAGCATTGTGTGTAAGTCTCATAACATTTGGTTGAGGCTAACTTAAGTAGAGAACAGAAACTAAAAATTCAGCAATTTTCCATTTGTAAACACGCATAACTCTAGAACGGTTGTGTATAAGTTTTATAACATTTGGTTGAGACAAACTAAAGTTAGAGAACGGAAACGAAAAATTCAGCAATTTTTATGTTTATAAAGGGACATTACTCAAGAATGGTAATTTGTCGCCACCTAATTTCGTACTTAATCTGTATTATGTAGTAATAAGCATCGTGTTATTTGTGTATAAGTTTCATAACATTTGGTTGAGGCAAACTAAAGTTAGAAAACGGAAACAAAAAATTTGTACTTGATCTTAGTTTTGTGGTAATGAATATTGGGTATAGGTTTCATAATGATTGGTTGAGGCAAACTTAAGTTACAGAATGGAAACTAAAAATTTGCAATCGTTCAATTTATAAAGGGCATAACTCAATAATGGTTAAAGTGACACTACCCAAATTCAACTTGATCTGTGTTTTATCAGTGGAAGTCAAAATTAAACATTGCATTGTATAAAGCATTGATTGTAGTTGATTCAACTATAATAATGGACAAAGGGAGATAATTTCAATTTTAAAAATTACTTGATATTTAGCATGTTTAGAAGAAAATAAAAATTTTGCAATTTTTCCATTTATAAAGGGGCATGACTCTAGAACGGGTTAAAGTGACGCCACCGAAATTCAAACTTGATCTGTGTTTTGTGGTAATAAGCATTGTGTATAAGTTTTATAACATTTGGTTGAGGCAAACTTAAGTTAGAGAACGGAAACTAAAAATTTTGCAATTTTTCCATTTATAAAGGGGCATAACTCTAGAACGGTTAAAGTGAAGCCACCAAAATTCAAACTTGATCTGTGTTTTGTGGTAATAAGCATTGTGTATAAGTTTTTACTTTAACATTTGGTTGAGGCAAACTCAAGTTAGAGAACGGAAACCAATTTTGGGACGTACGGACGTATGTACGTACAGACGGACAAGGGTAAAACTTAATGCCCCCACCGCTACATCGGGGGCATAAAAAAAATAAAATAGCCTTGCTAGACGTCATATAATTATTTGGACTACCAAAAGATGTAACCTAATTCTTACTTGTTTGGGGAAGAGGGGATTAACCGAACCACTATTCAATCTAAATCAGTGAACTGAATTATTGTCTTCTGCAGTAGTCCGAGTCGACATCTGTAACTAATCATGCAAATTGATAGTCAACAGTATACCTTTTTCAGAATGTCAGTTCACAAAGAATCACTGGTGATAGGGGAGTGTAACCGATAAATTGATCCTGAATCAGATAAGATTTTCCAAGGACGTATAACCAGAGACATATATATGTCTCTGGTATGTCTCTGGTATAACTAACACAATACGTCCTTGGATTTTCCCAGCAACGGAGAACCCCTTTCTTTGAGTGAATATAAATAGTGACGGGGGTCTCACAAATAAATTTAAATCTGAATTACAGGAACATCGATTAGCAAAGTAAACTTACATATTAATTTCGAATTTATTTACGGTAAAGACAGACTGTGCTCCTGAATTAAGGTATTATACATTTGTGTATTGTACTCGGGGGGGGGGGGGGGGGGGGGGGGCACTTCCTATATACAAGGTGATATGACGTGCCGCTGGAATAAGGTCACTTTTTCCAGCTTGAAAATATGGGAATAGGTGGGGAAAACTATCAGAAATATATGATAAGGTCGATAAAGTTCCAATTACTTGTATATGAAAAGCCCTGTCATTTTTTCACAGCCGAAAGTCTCGCCGTAAGTAAACATTACATACAGAATCTTAGCCTTAAATATTCCACTTTTCCAACACACCCCACGAAAACCAACCAATATGGGAAAAGGTTACAATTTTACCCTCGCAATATATGAAAAGGTATAAAACATTTTTAAGATCTAAATTATATGAATAGGGTGGGGTAACAGAACCCCAGCGACACCCCTATCAATTAAGTATTGAAGTGCCCCCCCCCCCCCCCCCCCCCCCCCCCGGAGGTATTTTACTGCTACAAGATATTTAAATTGCTAATCACGCACCCGTTGATGAGCAGAGAACCATACTTTCAAGCCAGGGGCAGTCTATACTAACAGTTAGTATAGAAAGACCCTGTAAAAAGGCAGGCAAATCCTAACAGTACTGTAACTTAATGATACATGTATATCAAGTTACAGCACCTCACCCAGCACAGTTAGCACACTGGTGTGTGTCAGTCTTATAATATAAAACTGCGTAGGTTCATATCGTTTGATTCAACGTTTTTTCGGATATTTTTTAGGACCGTTGTCAACTTGACATTGTCAAATCCGATCGCGACCTGCCACTTTGCAACCTGACCTGCAAAAACATAATTCGACTAAAAACAATGCCAGTCAAAATTGCTTTTTGAGACTGGGCGACTGAAAAAGTTTTAAAATGTGACCTTGTGACCCTACTTGGAATTCTTCATTCATCGGCGTGTGTCGGTTTGGCTAAAAAGGGGGCATTGGTTTTTTTTCTTGGGACAAAAAATTGTTTCTATCTTTATTAAAAAAAAATTAAGACCAATCATAAACTTTTTTTTCAAAAGTCAGTGTCGTATTTTATTGTTTTCCCAAAAATTTTTAATAAAAGCTTAAAATGTTTGTTTCACTTCCCTCTGACTTCCCTCCTGATTTTTTCTCTCAAGAAATTATAGAATCAGTAAATGGATATATATATATGTCTGTGGTCACCGTCATGCAGTTAGATAAGAAATTCCAGCATGCATCATCAAATAATTCATGTGTATTTGTGACATCAACATAACTGAAACATTATATTATTTCCCAGTAATTATGTAAATCATTTTGATTTACAATTACATATGTCTGGGACTTATGCATGTATATATCTCACAGGCACTTGTCTCAGAAAAAAAATCCTATATACTTTAACAAAAGTATATAGGAAAAAAATTCTGATACAAGTGCCTGTGATATATCTGTCAGTCCCAGAATAATAAATATAATTGTATCTTAATCTTTGGGAAAATCCGATTATTAAATTGTTAAATTCTTTAACGTCATAATTATATCAAAGTTTAATTTTTAAAGTTTTAAATTTTAAAGTTAAAATGAATATTCCGTTTTGATCTGAGGAAAAACTTTTTAAACTGTAATGACATGGTCAGTCAACTGATTTGTTGCATGGCTGATTACAGGTAATTAAAGCATGCAGTAATTTTCCATTACGACAGTGCGTGTACCCTGGGGTGTGTATAACGTATTAGAAATATCATAGTTTTCTAGAGAACATCCTGTCTATGTGTAATACAGATTGATGACATTACACAAATTTTTTTTCGTTAAATGTAGTTAAGTATCTGTGTCCATTCCCTATTGCAACACTACAATTCTTTCGAAGAAAAAAATGTTAAAATTTAAAAAAAAAAATCATTTATATAAAATAAAGAAGAAAAAAGTAGCAAATAAACTTATGTAACTACGCATTGAGTAAACATAATTTCACTTTACATGTACAAACCCTTGAGAAAACGTATATATAGATGTGTTTAAAAAGGCCAATTCCCAGTGGATTTATTTCACACTAGGACCACAGGCACTTGTCTCAGAATTTTGTTTCCTATATACCTTAATACAGGGACTTTCTATACTAACTTAGTATAGAAAGTCCCTGCTTAATATAACATTAAAAGTATATAGGGCATTTTTTTTCTGAGACAAGTGCCTGTGACTAGGAACTAAGATAACTAGAACTAAGTTCATTGGAAAGTCTTTTTGTTTGATACATGTATACCTATAGATAATGTACATAATTAAGAACAGCTTCAAATATATGCCTGTAAATTAACGGTACGTCTAAAAACCGCTCAGGACCTCCTGAGTGCAGACAGGACATAAAAAGTCACTCAGGACATGTATATATGTTTTAGTGAGCGTTGAGGGTATACATTCGATAGATAATTTAATATTTGATCTTATAATTTTGGTTTTGATAAAATCAAACCAACATTAAAGAAGTTATTTGGGATACGTCATGCATGACCGATGATCATATTCAATACCAATCATCATTTTGATTACAACGTTTGATCTTTAATAATTAGGACTGATTGGTGATGGTTATAAGCACATACAAGTAAACTTTGCAAACAAACAAACAAAAAACGTTTCCTTGGAAAAAATATAAAAATACATGAATATTGTTTTTACAAAAAAAGTTAAATAAATTTTTCGTTTTGTATGTAATAATTGAAGCCATTTAGAAATATAAGAAATCTTCACATAGTCGGGAAATTTTCATTTCAAGTTATTTCATTTGAAAACGTTAACAAATATAGATCTTATTCGATGTAAAATGTGGCGTCCTTGGAGATCAAAATCCCGTTTAAATAGGGTTTGTCTACTTTCGTCTATTGCCGAACATTCTATAATCAAGGATTTTTACAAATCCTTGCTATAATATAATGAATCGCGTCGCCAATATCACCACAATTACATAAAGTACAAATACAATCTTCTCCTAAATATTTGGCATCTAACAATTACAATAGGAAATTTTGAGTCGAAACTGAAGTACCAAATCTACAAAAAGAATCACTATTTTTTGTAGTAGTAGACGTTGAAAACTAAACTGTTTATAATCTTTTTTTTCTCCTAAATTAATAGAAACTCCTGAAATAATTTAACATTATCTATAGACAGCTTACATATGCAAATCTTTTTAGAAGTATGTGAGTGTATAGTAATAATTTGTTCATTAACCCCCCTTTTTCCTTCTATAAAATTACATTGTAATCGATTTTATTTCCAAATTTTTGTTTGCTAGGATTGACACTTAGAACGTACAACAAAAAGTAACAAGTAAAAAGTCACGATTCAGTTTTGGGATATTTTTTTCTTTGAATAAACTTAATTTTAAAAACGTTTCAGTATTTTTCTGAAACATTTTTAAAAGGAAACGGACTTGTAAACAAAATTTATTTTTGAATATTAATATGAACAATGATTGTTAAGAAAACAATCCGCAAAAGTGGTTTGGTAATTAACTGAAGTCATGCTGTCAAAAATATCTCCTTTTTATAAGTTATTGATAAAAAAAATTATTTGAAGGCGAATTAATCATTTCCTCAACTAAATACATTTATCTATAAATAAAGTCAATTCGTCAAGAACTTTCTCTCATATATTTAAACAATTGTAAAATAATTAATCTAAACCTTTGTCCTGCGACTTTCTGTCCGTTTACCAATACTTATTCCTTGTTAAGTTTTTTCATATCCATTTACGAATACTTATAACGTGATAATTAATTTTTCCGGATGCTTTTTATCCTATTTTCATATCAAACAACCATGTTACCCGTAGAACGGAGTTAAGTACAAATTTAGGAATTTAGTACTTAAAATTTTCAACAACACAATTTTACACTTTCATTTACCTGGATTTTTTTCTACGCTTCGAAGCCGCCACCCTATATCAAACTTATCCAACACCTCGCATGGCGTATTCACGATGTGGAGGGATTGACAATATACAATCAAAGTTAGCAATATACAGCAAGTAAGTAATTGGGTGTTGAATGCCAGTAGATCTGAATTTGTAAATTTTTAAATTGAATTTAACCTGTTTAGAACGTGTATTGTTGAATTGTTCAATAAAATTACACACATAATCTGGGCTGATATGCATAAAACCACTTTAAGTTCAAGGTATCAATAAAACTGGGTCTGCATGAAAAAAATGACTTATCACATAATACCAGAACCTATGTTTAGCCGATAAGAAAATATAGCTGTAGGCCTAGTTGAAAATCTTTACAAATTATTTATTCTTTTAATTTCTGTTTGACTGTCTGGGTGCTTCTTATGTGTTTTAAATGCTATGGTCAAGTTTTATATACTGTTGTACGTCATTTGGTCGTTTTTTAAGTTTTTGCCATGGCGTTTGTCAGTATGTCTTCGACTTATAAGTTTTATCAAGGATTTGTATAGTGAGATTGGTTTTATATAATCTGCATCTCTTGTGCTGTATTTTAAAATGTATTACAATTGCTGCATCTTTACACATTCATCAATACACCAAAAAATATGAATAAAGCTTTCGTATATATATAAATAAGGAGATGTGGTACGATTGGTAATGAAACAACTATCCGCCAGTTCAAGTCAAAAACCTGATATAAGCAAATGTGACTTACTTACTTACTTTTGTCAGAGAGATCTTGAATCTGAATTCAAGGATACGAAGTGGGAAGGGTTTAGAGGTGGATTAAGGTGAGGGCATGGGGGACCGCCCCTTTTTTGGAAAAAAATTGGTCGATTATTTAGAGAATGATGAAGCGGGCCCCCTCTTTATGCATGACAGTTAGTGCCTCCTTATGACATTTTTTGGATCCGCAAATGGTGAGGACTTCATAAAAAAATATTTAGTAAGTTTTTGTTTTGTGATAAATAATGTATTTAGACAGAAATAGGATAAAATAAACTACCGAAAGCTTAAGTATGGATGGGGGTTAACAGAATAGAGAATAACGGGCAAACAATAAAGATTAAAGAATAATGA